TCTTTAAGCTACGTTCACACCAATGGCGCTTTGATGGCGCTTTAAAGCGGCTTGTAAAGCGGCACCAAAGCGTAACAAAGCTTGATTAAAGCGTCAGGGTCGTAATAGGTAGTAGAAAAGCTCGGAGTTAAGCGGGATATTCGGCAAGAGCACAAAAATTATAACTGTTCAAGCTACGTTCGCACCAACGGCGCTTTAAAGCGGCTTGTAAAGCGGCACCAAAGCGTAACAAAGCTTGATTAAAGCGTCGGGGTCGTAATGGGTCGTAGAAAGGCTCGGAGTAAAGCGGGATAATCGGCAAGAGCGCCAAAAAATGTTAAACTGTTTAACAATTTTGGGCGCTCAGTTACAATACAATACAATACAATACAATACAATACAGTAACAAAGCTCAGCAAAGCTTGATCCAAAGCGTTGGAAAGCTTTACAGAGCTTGGTTCAAAGCGGGGATCCCAGTCTCTTCACTGTCTGTTACCACTTGACACGCTTCGTTAAGATGTCTCAAGATTTGCTACGATCTGGCATGAAGATCTGACACGAGGTTAGACGCTTTCATCAATATCTGACACTCTTTGTTACACTTTCATGAAGGACTCTCAAGCTTTCCAACGAATTGAGACGCTTTAATCAAGGATTAAAACGCTTTGCTAAGCTTTGTTACGCTTGACAAGTTTCCACACGCTATATCACGCCGTGCGACAAACATCATGTCTTCTTCACGACAGATAGGTCATGCTCTGGTCCATCTGGAATTTCTGGATCTTGTTGTTCTGCCATCGTGTTCTCTAGTCAAAGATGCAATGGTTTTATGGATCTACTGCATCTTTATATAGTCATTGGATCAAAAGCGGCATGAAATCGGCGATCTCGACATTTTCCAATGTGTGACAGAGCTTAACAGAACGTAACAATGCACAACAGAGCTTGGCAATCGTATCAGAGCCTGATTTAAAGCGTCATTATCGCATCGAAGCGTAATAATGCTTATCAAAGCTTATCAAAGCGTGATTTCAAGTGTAACAAAGCCTGGTCAAAGCGTGATCAAAGCGTGAGGAACCTATCAGAGCTATGTTAAGCTTTCCTACACTTGGGTCAAGCTTTTCTGAGCTTTGTTATGGTTTGTTAAGCCTTGATACGCTCTCTGCGCTTTAGTCAATTCGTAACAGAGCGCCCAAAAATTTCATACAGTTAAAAACATTTTGGCGCTCTTGCCGAATATCCCGCTTAACTCCGAGCTTTTCTACGACCTATTACGACCCCGACGCTTTAATCAAGCTTTGTTACGCTTTGGTGCCGCTTTACAAGCCGCTTTAAAGCGCCATCAAAGCGCCGTTGGTATGAACAAAAATGACAAAAATGATGGCGCTTTGCTCGCCGATTTAAAGCGTGGCATTCGCCGTTGGTGTGAACGTAGCTTTAGCTAGAGCTACTCCCTATACGCTGGATTTCACTTCTCGTATATAATCATATTTGTGACTTTCACTTTGACTAGAAATGACTTCGTCCCTAGCCGAATCAGGCCCGTGACCAAGAAGTTCTCGAATGCCAAAACGATGATGGACAATTGTCTATATATTAATCATAAAGAAATCGTATACATTAACTATATTAATCATAAAGAAATCGTATACATTAACGTGTCAATTTGCGCCCACGTAACCTTTCAGCAAAAGTACCAGTGTTAGTCTGGTCATACCAAGACCCATGGCCAGATGGTAATTTACATGCACATATTAATGTATTAAACGAAACGAGCACAAATTGAGTGCCATTTGACCAGAAATCTTTCAAATGGGGTAATAGATAATAACCAAGAATGTAACAATCAGGGCATTAAGTGATTGAATTCGAATTTAAAATCCATAGTTCATAGCATACGGCGCCGTATGTCATGGCTTAAACACCGTATGCTATGGTTAAGTGAAAATTTGTCAAAATATCATATTTTACCACTGATTACAAAAATACCGTTTTTATGTTGACTTGTTATCCTATGAATATCATGCTAACTATGGAATAATACATTTTATTGTTGTTTTGATGATAAGGTTCATTTTCGGAAAATTAAATAGAAACTAGGCATTTAGCAAACAGGCTGGCATTTTTACAAACGAAGTATATAGCAAAAATTGAAAAAAATAAACAAGGCGTTAACATGACAAAATGTCACCATCTAGTTGGTCAAAATATTATGAGTTCAATCTTAAGTCAGAATTGAATTTCTGAGAACTTATAGATGATTTTGAAAATAATTGGTCAATTTAAATCAAGATGAAAAAGACCCTTTTGACCTCGAGAATGTCAAATCCTTTTTGACCTTGAGAATGTCATTGGAGGTCAAATCTATAGTCAGATTTAAACTGTAGGGAACTTATAGATGATTTTGAAAAAAGAAATTGGTTACCTTGAGAAGTTCATTGAAGGTCAAATCTCAAAACTAAAGTCAGATTTGAACTTCTGATAAATTGTAGATGATTTTGAAAAAATTGGTCAATTTGAGGCAAGTTGAAAAAATACCTTTTTGACAAATCTCAAAAATAAAGTCAGATTTGAACTTCTGAAAACATTGAAGTCGGTCTAAACAGTATTTATTAAGTTATTAGAAGTTGAAAGAATTTGTTACAGACGCCGATCGCCAACCGCCATAAAAAAAACGGAGACCATAACAATATGTCACCACTTTTTGGTGGTGACATAAAAATGGCCACCGTTTTCAAAATGGTTGCTCACAAGTCAAATTGTCATCAGAAAGTGTAATATGCTTCTAAGTAGACACATATAAAATTTCAACAAAATCGCACACACATATAAATGGCAGCCATTTTTCAAAATGGTCGCCTATCAGCAAAAATGCCGTAAGACAGTGTGCCATACTTATGACTATTCACATATCAAATATGAACAAAATTGGTCCATTACTTTTTGAGTTATGGTAATAAAAAAACTTTAAAATGGTGACCATTTTTCAAAATGGCCAGCTTCTAGCAAAAATGTTATTAGACAGTGTGCCATGCTTATAGTATTCACATACCAGATATGAACAAATCGCTCAACTACTTTTCGAGTTACAGCAAAAATCGTAAAATAGCGTGTAAAAGACGCCATTTTTCAAGATGGCTGCCATGTGCTTCTTCGATATCTACATTTTTAGCTTTAGCTTTATTAATGTCCTGTTTAATTTTTCCTACATTTCAAACATATTGCTATTAGAATTTTACATATTGTACCTAAATTACTGTAAAAATGGCACTAAAATGGCTGCCAATTTTAAATGAGTGGCCATTATGAAAATCAGCTTTCGGGCAGAACTTCTACCACCATAGGGTATATGTGTACAAATTATGAACAAAATTGGGCCAATGGTATTTGAGTTATTCCCCTTACGGGCGGATGGAGGTGTTCCCTATATCACTCCAAACATAACATTGTCATAGCCTTGTGGAAATTACTAGAATGATTAAAGAAAAGTTGTACTTTTATAATATATATATATATATATATTTCTTATTAGGACTTTCAGTTTTGTACTAAACAATAATATTTATAAAGAATTGCTTGAATGCTGTGTTATTTCATTAGTTAAAAGTCAGAATTTAATAATTTCACGTGTAAACCATTGAAAGTGAGTAGTGTCTTAAATTCCAAAGATGAGAATCATGTTCATCTTGGTTTAAAAAATCAATTTTCACTTAAGACAAATCTATACAAATCACGTTTGTAAATAAAGTTTGTAAGTTAATCAATTTTCATATCTATTTCATATGTAGATATCTATCTTAAATGTCCACTCTGTGGAATAGAGAAACAGAGTTACACATTTCACATAAAAGATACACATATTCCGAATTGATAAATCACACAAAATAATGAGCAGATGTGTCCAAGCACATGAGACATAAAAACAAACATTGCTCCTTTGACATGGATATAACATAATGAATATGATTGTCCAGTTAAGCCTCCCTAAGATATATAGATTCTAAAAATGTCAAATGAGAAGTTCTCAGAAAACAACACTTCATGTAGAATCTAAAGATAAACACTTTAACCTGTTGATCACTATTCAGATCAAAATCTGTCTTTTAATTGAATTCTGACATGAATAATAGTGAATGTTTCACATTTAATTGTCACAAATCAAAGAGACATAACAGAATAATGTTAATAGAACAGAATAATGTTTGATTGAAATGACATCTTGTGAAAGGCAAATGCACAAATTATTACAAGTCCAACACAGTATTCAAATATCATAATAGTATATGCATTTGATGTAAACCTTCAATAAAAATACAAACATTTATGTTCTAAAAATATATATAATTGAACACTTTGATCTCATTTATGTAAAACTGCTCTTTATGTGCTTTAACAATTTTTTTGTTTGAAATTAGAAAATATCTAAATACAATCATGTGGTCTACGCTTCTGTTACAAGTTACTACCATTACAAAAAACGTTATTTTGCATACAAATGGAGCTCTGACCATATATTGAGATAATTTTGTTGCATCCAAATCTCATACATTTGTTAAAAGCTGTCCAAGTAAAAACTAAAAATTGCAAAGGGAAATTCATCAATCAAATTGAAAATTCATTTTAATACCAATTTGCTAATCTTTATCAAAATACCTTCAGATTATTGCAAGATATTAGACCTCACCATGTGTTTAACTTGTTTGACTAAAAAGTCTCTGTGAAAGTAGTACTATAGTAATTAATATTAAGTCATTAACAAATAAATTACTATTCTAAGTGACACAAAATGGAACAGCAAATTCTAAATGCCGTCTAAATGATTAGAATAAAGAGAATACAGACACAATGTTAGCTGTTACAAAGCAGGGTTATATTGCTTTGTTATGAAACATTTTGACAAATAGCTTTATATTGAAGGATTTTGTGCCTCATTAGTATTACATCTCAAAAATCCTTCATTGCAAAGCCTTTTGTCAAAATGATTCATATTCAAGCATATTAAACCTGTCGTGTAACTCTAAATGATATTTTACTTAGAGTATAATATACAAACTTTATAAAGGGTGATGTTATATGTACTTTCAAGTCTTGATGATTATTATGATAGTAATGCAGGATTATCATGATAGTTATATGTGGTAATGATGACATTAATGATAAGCATGATAATCATGTTTTACTATCATGACAGTAATGCAATGAGAAGTAACAATGCAATTATCGTGATAGTTATTCATCATTATCATGATAGTAATGAATGATTATTGGATCAAGGAAATAGTGATAAGCAATAGTGTGCTGGTAAACAATTAAAAATGAGTGAATTGAATTAACATGTTGAGGCAACATCGTTGACATAGCCCCTAAGTTTACCATGTATTTATACAATAGAATATGGTCCACTATGCTACATACATCAGATGTAACTGTCTATGTTGAGCACACTGCGGTTTTACAGGTAAGTCATTGTTCCCATGATATTCTCAATTTCCTGTGGATTCCTTAGCGGCAACAATAAGAGGTCGTAAAGTGGTCAATTGTGCTCTCTTTTTCAGGAATGGATGTTCCAAAAGTTCTGCCGCACTACCCCTTTTATCTACATCTACTTCTAAAGATTTGTTAAGAAAGTCTAAAAGTTCTTTGGACATCTTGCTTGTATTTTTTATCTCGGGTTTCCCATTGTTTGCAATAAGATAGAGCGCCCTAAGTGGGGTTTCATTTAGATATGGTGGTTCTCCCTCAATCATTTCAATCACCATGATTCCTAGAGACCAGATGTCAACCTTGTTACCATAGTGCTTCCTGCAACATATGAAGTGTATTGTATACATGTAAGCTTGAACAACTAGAAATTCAAATAATTGTGAAAGCTTGTATTACTCGAAACTCAAATGATCATGAAAGCATGTAAAACTAGAAACTCATATAATCCTGTAAAATTGTACAACAGTTAAAAACTCAAATAATCATGCAAGCGTTGACAACTAGAAACCCACATAATCATGTAAGCTTATAGAACTAGAAACTCAAATAATCATGTAAAGCTTATACAATTAGAAACTCAAATAATCATGTAAGCTTGTACAACTAGAAACTCAAATAATCACGTAAGCTTATACAAATAGAAACTCAATTAGAAACTCAAATAATCATGTAAGCTTGTACAATTAGAAACGCAAATAATCCTGTAAGCTTATACAATTTGAAACTCAAATAATCATGTAAGCTTATACAACTAGAAACTCAAATAACCATGTAAGCTTGACAACTAGAAATGCAAATAATCATGTAAGCTTGAACAACTCAAATAATCATGTAAGCTTATACGATTAAAAAACTCAAATAATCATGTAAGCTTATACAACTAGAAACTCAAATAATTATGTAAGCCTGACAACTAGAAATGCAAATAATCATGTAGGCTTGTACAACTAGAAAATCAAATGATCATGTTAGCTTGTACAACTGGAAACTCATGTAATTCGTAAGCTTTACAACTAGAAATGCAAATAACCATGTAAGCTTATAAAATTAGAAACTCAAATAATCATGTAAGCTTATACAGCTAAAGACCCAAATAACCATGTAAGCTTGTACAACTAGAAACTCAAATGATCATGTAAACTTATACAACTAGAAACTCATGTAATCCTGTAAGCCTATACAACTAAAAGCCCAAATAACAATGTAAGCTTGAACAACTAGAGACTCAAATAACCATGTAAGCTTGTACAACTAGAAACTCAAATAATCATGTAAGCTTAAACAACTAGAAACTCAAATAACCATGTAAGCTTGTACAGAAACTTGTACTAGAAACTCAAATAATCATGTAAGCTTGAACAAATAGAAACACAAATAACCATGTAAGCTTGAACAACTAGAGACTCAAATAACCATGTAAGCTTATACAACTAGAAATGCAAATAACCATGTAAGCTTGTACAACTAGAAACGCAAATAAACATGTAAGCTTGAACAACTAGAAACACAAATAACCATGTAAGCTTGAACAACTAGAGACTCAAATAATCATGTAAGCTTATACAACTAGAAACACAAATAACCATGTAGGTTTGTACAACCAGAAACTCAAATAATCATGTAAGCTTGAACAACAAGAAACGCAGACAACCATGTAAGCTTGTACAACTAGAAACTCAAATAATCATGTAAGCTTGTACAACTAGAAACGCAAATAACCATATAAGCTTGTACAACTAGAAACTCAAATAACCATGTAGGCTTGTACAACGAGAAATGCAAATAACCATGTAAGCTTGTACAACAAGAAACTCAAATAATCATGTAAGCTTGTACAACAAGAAACTCAAATAATCATGTAAGCTTGAACAAATAGAAACTCAAATAATCATGTAAGCTTGAACAAATAGAAATGCAAATAACCATGTAGGTTTGTACAACTAGAAACTCAAATATTCATTTGAGCTTGAACAACTAGAAACACAAATAACCATGTAGGTTTGTACAACCAGAAACTCAAATAATCATGTAAGCTTGAACAAATAGAAATGCACATAACCATATAAGCTTATACAACTAGAAACACAAATAACCATGTAGGTTTGTACAACTAGAAACTCAAACATTCATTTGAGCTTGAACAACTAGAAACACAAATAACCATGTAAGCTTGAACAACTAGAGACTCAAATAATCATGTAAGCTTATACAACTAGAAACACAAATAACCATGTAGGTTTGTACAACTAGAAACTCAAATATTCATTTGAGCTTGAACAACTAGAAACACAAATAACCATGTAAGCTTGAACAACTAGAGACTCAAATAATCATGTAAGCTTATACAACTAGAAACACAAATTACCATGTAGGTTTGTACAACCAGGAACTCAAATAATCATGTAAGCTTGAACAAATAGAAATGCACATTACCATGTAAGCTTATACAACTAAAAACACAAATAACCATGTAGGTTTGTACAACCAGAAACTCAAATAATCATGTAAGCTTGGACAACTAAAAATGCAAATAACCATGTAGGTTTGTACAACCAGAAACTCAAACCAGAACAACGGCAACGCCAAAGCGTAGCGAATCCCATCGAACAGAAATGGCTGGCATTTTACAAACGAAATATATAGCAAATATCATAAAACAACACACCAGAAAGGCCACCATTTTCAAAATGGTTAGCCAAGTTGTCATCAGAAGAAATAATATGCTTTTAGTAGCCACCTATAAAATTTTTGAAAAATCGCACACATGTACTTGTGAAATAAGTAAAAAATGTAAAAATGACAGCCATTTTTTAAAAATGGCCGCCTACTATCCAAGTGTCATGAGACAGTGTGCAAGGCTCGTGAGTATTCACATATCAAATATGAACAAAATCGCTTCACTACTTTTCAAGTTATAGTAAAAACGTAAAAATTGTGGTCATTTTTCAAAATGGCCGCCTACTACCCAAAGTGTCATTAGACAATGTGCCATGCTTATAGTATTCACATATAAAATATGAAACATACCAAATATGAACAAAATCGCTGAACTACTTTTCGAGTTATAGTAAAATACGTTAAAATGGCAGCCATTTTTCAAAATGGCCACCTTCTACCAAAAGTGTCATTAGACAATGTGACATGCTTATAGTATTCACATACCAAATATGAACAAAATTGCTTCACTACTTTTCGAGGTTATTGTAAAATACATTAAAATGGCGGCCATTTTTCAAAATGGCTGCCTTCTACCAAAAGTGTCATAGGACAGTGTGCCATGCTTATAGTATTCACATACCAAATATGAACAAAATTGCTTCCCTACTTTTCGAGTTATAGTAAAATACGTTAAAATGGCGGCCATTTTGAAAAATGGCCGCCTTCTACCAAAAGTGTCATAGGACAGTGTGCCATGCTTATAGTATTCACATACCAAATATGAACAAAATCGCTCCACTACTTTTCGAGTTACAGCAAAAATCGTAAAATAACGAGTAAAGGCCGCCATTTTTCAAGATGGCTGCCATGTGCTTTTTTTAATATCTACATTTGTAGCTTTATTAATGTCCTTTATAATTTTTTTACACTTAAAACATATTGCTATTACAGTTTTACATATTGTACCTAAATTACTGTAAAATCGGCACTAAAATGGCCGCCATTTTGAAATGAGCGGCCATTTTGAAAATCGGCTTTCGAGCAGAACTTCTACCCCCATAGGGTATATGTGTACAAAATATGAAGAAAATCGGGCCAACGGTATTTGAGTTATTGCCCGGACGGACGGACAGACGGACGGACGTACGTACGGACGGACGTACGTACGTACGGACGGACGGACGGACGGAGGCGTTCCCTATATCCCTCCGAGCTTCGTTCGATGGGATAATAATCATGTAAGCTTGAACAAATAGAAATGCACATAACCATGTAAGCTTATACAACTAGAAACACAAATAACCATGTAGGTTTGTACAACTAGAATCACAAATAACCATGTAAGCTTGTAGAACTAGAAACACAAATAACCATGTAGGTTTGTACAACCAGAAACTCAAATAATCATGTAAGCTTGGACAACTAGAAATGCAAATAACCATGTAGGTTTGTACAACCAGAAACTCAAATAATCATGTAAGCTTGAACAAATAGAAACGCAAATAACCATGTAAGCTTGTACAACTAGAAATTCAAATGATGATAAAAAAGGCCTTACCTGGTCACCACCTCGGGTGCCATCCAATAAGGAGTGCCCACCATGGTGTTCCTCTTGTCCCTCTCTGCAGTTATTTGTGCACAAAAGCCAAAGTCAGTCAGCTTGACTTCTCCATTCATTCCAAGCAGCACATTGTCACTCTTGATGTCCCTGCAGGATATTCAAAGAATAAATAATTAACACAGATAATACATGATAATACAATTGAATGATGAATATTTTGTCATGTTATTTCCTATAGTGAAAGACGAGAAACTGTTATGTTACATAGTCTTGGTTGACATGAGGAGGTGATCCAAATTACTTAAATACAGAGGCTGAAACTACTGGTTCAACAAACTAGGGCTATTTGAATGTTTTTTTTCCTCAAAGAATAGCCTTTGCATATGTCTTACATGTATATAATTTTGTTATATTTTGTACATTTATTTTACATTACTGTACATATAAGTTGTATCTCCATTTTATTATGGGCAACAAAGATAGACACCACTACAAGTGATGTATCATCCAATAGACTTGTGTCAATAGTTGCATAAATCTGCACATGGTTATGACTAACATTACTTCAATGATAGGATATTTGCGTACAGGAAGTGAGAAGATGCGATTCTGTCATATACGAGTCCTTATTCCATAATACTTGGTCACTGCGCTTCCTCGGTTAATATCACATTACCATTCAGTCAATATCATATTGTCCCTCAGAATAAAACTCATATTCAATCCTTCCCAGTAAATAACCTATATTTATTGCAATATACTAGATGCGAGTAGAAATAATCATGATTTACTTCATTAAATATTCAGAATTTAGTTGAAAGGATGTCATTTTTCAAGTCTACATGTAAAACTGCTTCTAGAAATGTGGTTAAAAAAGAATTTACTTACTTTGAAAATTCAATTTTGTGACTTCTAGGTCGTGTTACAAAACCACAGGAAGTGGAATATCTTTTCTTGTGTTGGACAGATAATATTTACTTTACTGGACATATTTTTGTTTGTATAACTATCAGACACATAAGGATTATATGAAAATTGATCCACTTAAACAAATAATATTCAAGTTTAGGGGAACTCAAAAACCTGCCATGTTAATTAACCCAAATTAGCCACCTGGTGGTGAATCTGGGAACTACCTAATCGCATCTGAGTATTTACCCTAAAAACAAATTACAAAGTATATTATTTTCAAACATATTTTCTTACCTGGGGGTGATATCTCTCTCATGAAGATATTTGAAAGCAGCAAGACATTCATGGCAGATATATTCTCTTACCTGTGGATGATATCTCTCTCATGAAGGTATTTGAGAGCAGCAAGACATTCATGGCAGACAGCCGCAATTTGAGACTCCTGCATTATTGTTTCTGTCACTACATCAGTGAGGGCGCCTCCCTCCAAATATTCCATGACAACCCACAGTTCGCCATCTACAAGGTAGCTATCCAGGAAGTTGACAATATTGGGGTGTTGGTAACCTTTCATGACTTCAATCTCAGTAATGATGAGCTCCTTCTTGGGCTGATTCTCCAGGTCCATCATCTTTATTGCTACTATGTGGCCATTGGATGTGTCCACAGCTTCGCACACTGTGCCAGATGCCCTGAAAATATGCATTTCAAATAAACATTAATTGCTACAATCTAGCCATTGGATGAGACCACAGCTTTACACTCTGTGTCTGATGCCCTGAAAATATGCATTTCAAATAAACATTAATTGCTACAATATAGCCATTGGATGAGACCACAGCTTTACACTCTGTGTCTGATGCCCTGAAAATATGCATTTCAAATAAACATTAATTGCTACAATATAGCCATTGGATGAGACCACAGCTTTACACTCTGTGTCTGATGCCCTGAAAATATGCATAAACATAGATATAAGATTCTGAGTGAAGACATATTAACATACATCTGGAACCAAAGACTAACCAAAGATAATAGGGGAATCTCCAGCAAGCGATTCGGGCCACTTGTTAGACATAATTTTTCTGAAAGATATCTTTATTCAGCATCAATTCACATATGTCAGGGTCGTATTGGTTTGTGGACAAAGGATTCTGAGCCTTTCTACCCCCCTAGAATGATATTTGAGAAGGATATTACATTATCATTCTATAACATCAATTAAATATTTTCTATTAGTACTGATTTCTACATAATGTGTCACTGGAACAGTGGTTAAGTGTATCCTGAAATTATAGAGAGATGTTAAATCATTTCAGAGAAAACATAATTTCTAGAAATAAAAAGCATATTTCTTACTTTAATTTTTTAGTTTCACCAATCTTATATTTGCAGCTTCAGAGAAATAATAGGCAGTAACAGTGCTCCAAGTAGTATTCAATAGTTTCCAAGTTATGTGTGATGTTGTAATATAAGGAATGTATTGATAAAGTACTATTTTGTATTTTTAAAGATGCAGTATACATACCATAGGTTTCTCGCCAAGACAATCATTTATTGTCCCATTATTAGTGCTTATATAATATCTCACATTCCATGGATACATTTTAAGAATAACTTTTGGGTAAAATATTGAAATAACCAACAGAACAACCAACCTCCAGAATTAAACGCAATTGATTCCTTGGCTAGCTAGGGGATTCCCCGTTGAGTCACACTATCGCCCACAAGAGCCTTAAACCAGGCAACCAATCAGGTTCATGATAAACAAATTCAACGATCAATCAGATAGCAGGGGGATTTTCCCAGTATATTCAAACTTCATTTTGAATTAATTTCCGCGATTCCGCTATTCTATGGTATAGAGTCTCTTTAATATGGCTTTGTTGACCCCTACCCCTAAGAAATACAAAAGGTGGAGGTGGCATGATTGGATCAAAAATTCTATGATGACTACTAATGTCCTGCCTTGTATATTATTATCTTCAAGAATAGTTTCCACAAATGCCATAAACACAGATTTCTTAGGTCAAAAGCCTGTTTCAATGTTTATATAGACCTAGAGGATGGAATTTTATTATTGTTTTTTTGCATTAAGCTGAAAGAAAACAATATACATGCTAAGAAAGAACTAAGACTGCAAAGTTTCGACAAAAATTATGAAACTGGGGTAGAGTTATGATCGCTATGGTAACATGACATCACAATACCCGGGGCAACATTTCACGCAGAAAGTTACAGAGACTTTAAGCATTTTGTACATCCCATAGCAAAGTTAGAATCCAACAAATGGTGGGAATTACATTTGCTAAATATATTATTTGATATTCCTATGTTAATCCTCTACTTTGAAAAGTAGGGTCCTCTTTGGTCAGTCCAAGAGTAGCACTCAGTATCCATGACTCAAACACATGGGGAGTGAACCCATTTGATGACAATTGTCACGCAGGGTCGATAGGACAACTTAGAGAAGGTCATTCTCATCTTTAAAGGTCTTACCACGCTAAAGGTCTTACCACGCTGATTAGCATTCCATAAAAGTAAAAATTAGATATTGCATGATCAGAAGAGTAATGATGCATGGTTTTAGACCTCAAGACCTAGCTCCGCTATAGCTGCAGTGGTCTTTAATGCTGACTTGCGGGCAGGCGCGTTATCAAGGTGCAGTGGATGACTGGCTTCAAATTGGGTTTTTTCAAAAACTCAACAGTGAATTGCGCAGACTGTTATACATAATGATATTTCAGGAAATTGAATAAATATTATTATTAAGAAATCATACTTGAATCTGAGTTGTATAGCAACCCCATAACTATAAAGCAACTAATAAAACAAACAAGAAATTTTGTATTGAAATAGGCGAATTGGATACTTTCTTCAGTCATATAAAAATGTTAGATATTACATTTTCATGAAAAAGTTGCCCCGGGTATTGTGATGTCACGTTACTAAAGTAACCATAACTTTACCCACATTTTATCATTTTTCTGAAACTTTACAATATTAGTTGCACTCCTTCAAAGTACAATTTGTGAAAATTTGAACAAACTCGGTGCAGAATTGACAAAATGCCAGCACCAGTCCTGTTACTTTTGGAACACCCTGTATATATATTCACACTGTTTGTGGATTTGTTTGCATACTATGTGTGCCTCACTGTATAACTATGTTGTAAATAAACCTATAATAAATCTTTTATTATATATTTAACTTAAATCATCTATTTTGTCAGATAAAGTGTATGTTTTATGTTGCAGAGCGACATTTTCAGTCCCTTTGCCATTCTATAAGTCATGTCTGAGGACCCTTGAGAGTATTACAAACAAAACACGAATCCTGGAATTAATGTTAACCATTCTTTCACCTCGCTTAGCCCTTTTCACTATTCACACTTCCACTTCTGTTTGCTCTGCACCACTGTGCGGAGAAAGGGGCGGTGAGGGTCGTTAAAGTAATATCAAATTTTAACCATTAGTTTCCAACACTGAAGCTATCATGGATAAAACCGCTGTTTTAAGAGCAAAATATTTGTATCCTATCCTTGTATCCTATTCTTGTTGCATGTTTAGATTGTATAGAAAGGTGTCTTACCCTGAGCCAACTTTTTTGTTAATTTTATATTTATCTTTAGGTGCCCCTGGACTGCATACACCTCCTATAAAACAGCAAAATACTTGCTTTTAATTAAGAGACAAAATGGCATCAGCAATGAATACCTTATGTTGAATAAAGTTGCATCACATTGAAACTGATTATACTGCTTCAGGATGAATAGAATCATAATATAATATATGTATATAACCGTGAAGACTTATTCATATCAGATATTTATTTTCAGAGAATACATGTTCATCTTTCCCTAGTATATTCCCCTTGCGTTTTGAGCTGCAGGATATATACTGAGGGAAAGATGACCAAACATGTATTCTCCTAAAGAGAATGTAATATTAGGTATATATATTATACACATTAAAACAACTGTCATTCTGATGGACAGTAATAAACAACTTGCTACGAATGAAAATCGCCAGAATTTAATTTTCAAAAAATTGGCAGAAACTTATTTTTGGCAGTTTTAATTATCAATCTGCCAGATAAGCCAACTTAAAACAGCCGTCAAATTAAAGCAATTTACAGTATCAATCTTGAATATTGATGGCATTTTGGAAATTCTGTCTTGAAAAGAGATCGTAAACTTAATAATTTTGCAATTTCGATCACCAGTGGGGAGTTTCAAATTGACATTTTATTGTTTCAATCAACATTTCCAACAACATTTTATCATGAAGGTGACAGGAGGACAAGAAGGCACGGAACGGAAATTCCGGAATTTCGTTTTCAAACAATTGGCAGAGATTTATTTTTGGCATTTTTCATTAATCCGCCAGATCAGCCAAATTAAAACTGCTGTCAAATTAAAACAATTTACAGTATCCATTTCGAAATTTGATGCCATTTTGGGAAATTCTCTCTTGAACATAGATCATAAACTTAACTAGACATGTAAATTGAACAAGTTCAATTTAAGACTCCAGATTTCAGACTTTTTTTAAGCTGAGTCATCTAAATACTTGTAAGCTGAGTCATTCAGAATAAGCTGAGTCAGCTAGAATATAGACATTTAGACAACTCTTAAGAATGTTATCTTCGACTCCATTGGCTTAACATGGGGATATCATCATATCGACTTTTCGAGACTTCAAACCGCTATAACTATCTAATCAGAAGTTGGATCGAAATTTGGTTTAAAGATTCTGATTCCTGAGAAAAATTGTACCCTTAATTCATAACTCATACGTTAAATTTGGAGAACTTTTTATTTTGACCTACTTTTCAGACACCATGTCTCAAAAGTGGGTCAAAATACTTTCTGACGGCTACCTGTATACAAAATTTCGAAGCAAATCATTAAAGTGTAATGTCAGAATCGCAAAAATAAGGAAAAACTATGAATTTGACCTAGATTTTGACCTAGGCATTTTGGTGTCCAAATTTTAAAGCTAGATAGCCTTCGAGGTGCCCTTCTTTTATAGGCTTTCAGAATGTTAAGCTGTTCTCAGTTTATATCTGGTATTTTACACTTCAAAAAAATATTTTTTTATCATTGACATAACATGGGGCACCAAATTTAGCGATTTTTGAGCTTTCAAAACGCCATAACTTCGGAACTGAAAGTCGGATTGAAATTTGGTTTGCAGATTCGGATTCCTGGGAAAATGCTACCCTTAATTCATAGCTCATGTTAAATTTGGAGAACTTTTCATTTTGACCTACTTTTCGGACACCATATCTCAAAAGTGGGTCAAACAACTTTCTGACGGCAAAAGGCTAACACTATTAGAACACTCTTGGCTACATGTATACACAATTTCGAGGAATATAGTTAAAGTGTAGTGTCAGAATCGCAAAAATAAGGATAAACTATGAATTTGACCTAGATTTTGACCTAGGGATTTTGGTGTCCAAATTTTGAAATTAGGTAGCCTTCGAGGTTCCCTTCTTTCGGATTGAAATTTTGTTTGCAGATTCGGATTCCAGAGAAAATTCTATACTTAATTCATAACTCAAACTTCAAATTTTGAGAATTTTTTATTTTGACCTACTTTTCGGACACCATATCTCAAAAGTGGGTCAAAATACTTTCTGACGGCAAAAGGCTTACGCTATTAGCACACTCTTGGCTACATGTATACACAATTTCGAGGAATATAATTAAAGTGTAGTGTCAGAATCGCAAAAATAAGGATAAACTATGAATTTGACCTAGATTTTGACCTAGGGATTTTGGTGTCCAAATTTTGAAATTAGGTAGCCTTCGAGGTTCCCTTCTTTCGGATTGAAATTTTGTTTGCAGATTCGGATTCCAGAGAAAATTCTATACTTAATTCATAACTCAAACTTCAAATTTTGAGAATTTTTTATTTTGACCTACTTTTCGGACACCATATCTCAAAAGTGGGGCAAAATACTTTTTGACGGCAAAAGGCTAACACTATTAGCACACTCTTGGCTACATGTATACAAAATTTCGAAGAATATAATTAATCTGTAGTGTCAGAATCGCAAAAATAAGAAAAAACTTTGAATTTGACCTAGATTCTGACCTAGGCATTTTGATGTCCAAATTTTAAAGCTAGATGGCTTTTGAGGTCCCATTCTTTTAAAAGCTTTCATTATATTTAGCTGAACTCAGTCTATATTTCGTATTTTTCACTTCAAAAAAATCTTTTTTCCCATTGACTTAACATGGGCACCAAATTTAGCGATTTTTGAGCTTTCAAAACGCCATAACTTCCTAACCGGAAGTCAGATTCGAATTTGGTTTTCAGATTCAGAATCCTGAGAAAATTTCCTATAAGACAAATATCCTGGATATTTGATTCGAAGAATTTTTTTTTGGACCTCGTTTTCGGACACTGATATCTCGAAATCGGTTTGAGATATCAAAAAACTAAATCGACCCTAAGTTTCCTACTTTTTTATAAGGAACACATTGAAAAACCCGGATCGAAAATATTGAAGGACGACCGAGAAAATCGAAAAAAGTGACAAAGTACTGGATTTGACCTAGTTCTTGACCTTTGACCTAGATAAAAATTTGACCCAATTTCCGAGGAACTAGATTCTGAACCTAAATTGACCAAATGATTGACTTTACTGAAGACCTTATGGTTATTGAGTAAACTGGTTTAGAATAATAATAACTAGATTTTGGAAATTGAACGAAGTTCAATTTCAGACTCCAGATCTATACTTTTTTTAGCCGAGTCATCCAGAATAAGCCGAGTCATCCAGAATAAGCTGAGTCATCTAGAAAGAGATGGATAAATAAAATAGGAAGGTAGGATAGGATAGAATAGGAAAGAACAATAGGATAGAATAAGAAAGAAGGATAGGATAGAATAGAATAGGAAGAAAGGATAGGATAGAATAGGAAGGATAGGAAGGAAAAGATATGAAGGAAGGATAGATAGGAAGGATAGGGTAGGATGAGATAGGAAGGATGGATGAATTTTTCAATATTTTCTTCTCTACTCTTGACTTTCTATCAGGATACCATCAGATCGATTTTTCTCGAAATTTCAAAACGCGATCACTTCCGAACCGGAAGTCGGATCGAAATTTGGTTTGCAGATTCGGATTCCTGACAAAATTCTACCCCTAATTCATAACTCATACGTTAAATTTGGAGATTTTTTATTTTGACCTACTTTTCGGACACGCCATAACTTCCGAACCGGAAGCCGGATCGACATTTGGTTTGCAGATTCGGATTCCTGACAGAATTCTACCCTTAATTCATAACTCATATATACAATTTGGAGAACTTTTTATTTTGACCTACTTTTCGGACACCATATCTCAAAAGTGGGTCATAATACTTTCTGACGGCAAAAGGCGAACACTATTAGCATATTCTTGGCTACATGTATACACAATTTCGAAGAATATAATTAAAGTGTAGTGTCAGAATCGAAAAAATAAGGAAAACCTATGAATTTGACCTAGATGTTGACCTAGGCATTTCGGTGTCCAAATCGTGAAGCTAGATGGCTTTTGAGGTCCCCTTCTTTTAAAGGCTTTGATTATATGAAGCTGAACTCAGTCTATATTCCGTATTTTTCACTTCAAAAAAAATATTTTTTCCCATTGACTTAACATGGGCATCAAATTTAGCGATTTTTGGGTTTTCAAAACGCCATAACTTCCGAACCGGAAGTCAGATCTAAATTTCGTTTTCAGATTCGGAATCCTGAGAAAATTTCCTATAAGACTAATATCCTGGACATTTGATTCGGAGATTTTTTTTTTGGACCTCGTTTTCGGACACTGATATCTCGAAATCGGTTTGAGATATCAAAAAACTAAATCGACCCTAGATTTCCTACTTTTTTATGAGGAACACAATGAAAAAAAAACGGATCGAAAATATTGAAGTACGATCGAGAAAATTGAAAAAAGTGACAACCTACTGGATTTGACCTAGTTCTTGACCTTTGACCTAGATAAAAATTTGACCCAATTTCCGAGGAACTAGATTCTGGACCTAAATTGACCAAATGACTGACTTTACTGAAAACCTTATGGTTATCGAGAAAACTGGGAAAGAATAATAAAGAATAATAATAATGAATAATAATAATAAGAATACTGACAAAAACAATAGACTCCAGATTGACATCTGGAGTCTAATAAGAAGAAGAAGAAGAAGAATAAGAAAACTGACGAGAACAATAGACTCCAGATTTTCAATCTGGAGTCTAATAAGAAAACAGGCAAAAACAATAGACTCCAGATTTTCAATCTCCAGATTTTCAATCTGGAGTCTAATAAAGCAGTATTGGAAATGCTGATCATTTCGATCTTTGTGGCAATGTACCCACAGGGTATGTGTGTACAAAATAACTTCTTGAGCAAGGTCCTACAGCCACAAAGCACCGAACTACAGAGTGGACCAAAAAATCAATACTCAAGTTTAAAGGGGATTGATTCTTTAACCATGCCATGAGCGATCAAAGTCACAAAATGAAAATCCAATTCAGAGATCAAGTACTTATCAATCCATTGGTATTACTATGAAGATAGAATTCATTTTGCCGAAGAATGCTGAAAATATGCATTGAGTCCCTTTACTTCTACTAATCTAAGTTATCATCCAAACAAAAGACTAAGTGGCTTTTTTACGGTTCTCTACATCATTTGGCACCAGTTTTAATTTGGCGAATTTGGCAATTTGCAAAATTTCACAAGTTCATATCTTCACCATTTTTATAACAGTTCCAAAGCTTCTTTATGTCAATCCTAGCGTGGCTTAGGAGAGGTGAATGCTGATTGGTCAAACATAATGCGGATTGGACTCTATGATTCTAGAAGGATAAAATAGCAGATATCGTAGTTATTGGATTTTGCATATTTTCCCTATTTGCCAAATAAAATAGCACCAAATTAAGTAGAGTAACAGTGCAATATATCCTTTATATCATACTCAGGCCATCCATTATTTGAGACTCAGTCATCTTTTTCTTGAAAGTCTTCTTGCGCTTCAATGGTGGAGTGGGTTTTGCTAATTCAGGTTTAGTAGGTGGGGTGTCTTCACTTATTTTCACTTTTGCAATATCTTTTGGTATGTTCTCATATTCCAGGTCCTCTTCCTCCTCCTTGGTTTCCTAGAAAAAGTCAGTTGATGCATGCTCACTTTTTTTTAATGTATACTTACTTTAATGTGATGTTATCAAAGAACATTAAAATAACTCACATACGCAGCGTTTTCAATAGGGACTATGAAAAGTGAGTCCCGGGGACCCAGTGTTATAAAAATTTGGGGTCCCTCCCAAAAAAGTGGGTCCCAATTGAAAAAAGAGAAACACTTAATAAACATGTATTCTTTATGTTGCTTTATCATGTTTTTATTGCATGTATTTAGACCCTGGGGTCAGATTGTACAAGTGTAAATGATGAATAAGTAACGTTTATACACAAGGCGTTACAGAATGTCACATCCAAGGCCATTTGAAAGTCTTTGCACCCATTTGGGCTGGTGAAAATGTTCCTCTTTCCAGCCCTGATGCATAAACTGCACCGCATTCCTTGGCCTGCAACATACTGCAGCCAGGGGTATGTGTTTTCCCATTCTGGGAGGTACCTCTTAACTTTAGGAGGGCGTGGCATGATAATACCCTTTACCTCGTGACTTTATGATTCAATTAATAATACTCAGAAAAACATTAATTATATAGACCCAATTGACCCAATTCATGCAAGCGAAGCGAACTCTAAAGACATGAAAGAGGGGCCTGAGCCTCCCCACAGAAAATTTCTATATTTATACCTTCAAAATTGAGCAATCTAAGCATTTCCAGGAAGTCTTTCAACAGCTTGCCTTGATGCATTTCTAAATTTCAATTTTAATATTCTCACATTTTGTATATCCTAAATAATCATCATATTTAATCCCATGTCAAATTCTAAACCCCAGTCAATGCAATTCAATGTAATCACAGCTGTACAGTGTGTCCCATAAAAAACGCAACAAACAAAAACATTGTAAAATCACAAAACCAGTGATGATTACATCAATTTCATTTAGTTTATCATGAAGCCACGTGTCTCCCCTTTACAATGGTATGTTATTTGTTCATATCTGATCATGGACCACTGAAAAATCATTGTTTTTTCGTACATGGGTGAAAAGGCCTTTGTGCCAAGTAATGAAATATCAATCAACTGATCCTTAATTGTGCAATCAGGTAAATCATTATGTAATTGGTACTGGGGATTAAATTTTTGTCACAAGATTTACATAACACAAGTTTCTGATTTAGATCAAGTAAGAAAAAATGAAAAGAAAATTTAACTTTAAGTATTCATCAGTATTCTTGTTGGTTCAGGTAACAAAATGCAAGACATATGGAAAAAAGTGGCATAGACAGTCGTCTGTCATCTTATGAAAGATTACATTCCATGCCCTTTCACATGACCACTATTTAACACTGAGACTGGCCTTTGTGTCCATGTCGCACACCTCTTTGAATCATCTGGGGTTCTGGCAGAGGGCAGCAACCTCATTGGTGACTCTTTGTTGCAATGTCTAAAACTTGGCCCAGAGCAGATTTTGGCACGTTGTGCAAAAGGAATGATTATTCAGTGGTCCATGGTTTTATATGAATAACTGACATACCATTGGAAAGAGGAGACATGTGGCTTCCTGGTAAACTAAATGAAATTGATGTTATCATCACTGGTTTTGTGATTTTACAATATTTTTGTTTGTTGCGTTTTTTATGGGACACACTGTATATCTGAATATAGATGGCACGTGTGTAGACTGATTTCTCTAAGCAAAAAAACTAACTATAAAATCCAAAAGATGGCAGTGTTTATATCACTTCTCACATTGAAATCTTTCTGCAAAGCCGGCCACATTTTGACCAAAATGTACCGGTTTTATCATATTGTTTCAGCAAAATAAGTATTATTAAGGTAAGTTATACTATATTTTTTAAGTTTAAGTTGTATAAGCTTGATTTATTGGGTTAAACTTGGAGAAAATTCCGTTTGACCTAAAATAATTTACTTTCTATTTTTTTCATTCGACAATTTTATTTCTGATATGTTTTCGCCAATTAGGGACGTTTTTCATATAAAATAACATTTGTTTGCAACCTATGGTGAGTAATGCGTCCCAAGAACGCACCAACAATTTTTTTCTGCGTCCTTCACTATTTATTTACGTCCTCATAATGGGAGGACGGCGTTGTTAAAAACCCAGCATACGACTTGGGATAATTTTTGGATTACTAACAAAACATAGGTTTCAGGCTGATATAAAGATGGCAGTTGTGTTGTCCATATGATACCTAAGCAGGAATGCCTGCTCTGCCATCTTTTTATTAACACCCTAATAAGCATTTTGAATAGAAGGTCTGCAAAACCCTAAAAATATAATTATAAATTACCTCTTTATTCTTAACTTTTGGTGGAAGGTCTGGTTTTGCATCTTTGGGTGGTGTTGTTGGTTCCTCTGGGATTTCCTCAGTCTCGTGTATCGTTGGTGTGGCAGATTCAGCAGTGTCCTCACTATAAGAGCAAGCAAAACAGGAGAAATACAATAGTACTATATTCACTTCAACCTGGATAACATAACTCAGTTTACATACATTTCTTGAATCAGAAACATGTCAAAATATGATAAGATAATATATTATTTTATGAGACTCAGAAAACTGATGAAAGATTTAGAATCTTCTCCAAAATGCCTTTTATTTGAGTATGGTAAAGTCAACCTTCAAAGAGATTGCGTAATCAACAAAAACTCCGGCCCCTTGGGGGTCAGTCAGAAAAGGACATAATATATGTGAACAAGTATTATTGTTAGTATTTACGTCTCATCATCTCTATCCAGTTCTTCCAAGCTCTCCACACTTCCCATGATATACTTGACAGTCTTCTCATTTTGGGGCCTCTTAATTGACTTCTCATAGTACTTCAGGGCATGTATTACAGCATCTGGGTTCTCAGTCTGTTCAGTTTTACTGTAAAAGGGGCATATAGAATACTTTTACTCAGTTTATATAAATGCAGAAGAGTGGTTCATTTAATTTGGATTGTTTCATGATTTTTGATAAACCTCCAATGTATATTGCCAATAGATTTGTTTATCATTTATAATCAAAGTACATTGTATATTGATGATGGAATTTTGTCTAACTATTTAAACTGGATTTAAAAAAGCGATTGCTTAGTCAACATTTCTTCATTATGAATAATTTCCAAAATTAGAAGCCATTTAACAATGGTGATTGGTGATAATTGGTGATATAATATTATGATGATTAAAGTTGAAATCATTTCTATTATGAATATAAGCAAATATTAGCATTTGCAACAATATGGTATTCAGCAAAAAAATCAATTTTTGTCAATTAAATTGTACTTAATATACATTCATGTTGTAAATATACTTACATGTAGTAAACAATATGTATATGAAGTAAACATACATTTAGTAAACAGACATACATGAGGTAAACAAACATACATGAAATAAAGTGATATACATGAAGTAAACATGGATACAAAAGGTAAACAGACACACTTGAAGTAAAGCAACATACATGTGGCAGACATATATTTATGAGGTAAAGAGACATACATTAGGTAAACATACATACATGTAGTGAAAACATACATTCATGATGACATACATGTAGTAAATAGATATACATAAAGTAAACATACATGTAGTAAACATTTATCGTAAAGTAAACATACACTCATGAAGTAGACATACATACATGTAGTAAACAGACTTATATGTAGAAAACACTAGACAACAGCAACGCCAAAGTGTAGCAAATCCCATCGAACAGCCATGGCTGGCATATTTACAAACAAAGTAAATAGAAAAAATGCCAGACATTTTTCAAAATGGCCACCTTCTACCAAAAGTGTCATTAGACAGTGTGCCATGCTTATAGTATTCACATTCCAAATATGAACAAAATCGCTCCACTACTTTTCGAGTTATAGTAAAAAAATATGTTAAAATGGCGGCCATTTTTCAAAATGGCCACCTTCTATCAGAAGTGTCATTAGACAGTGTGCCATGCTTATACTATCCCCATACCAAATATGAACAAAATCGCTTCACTACTTTTCGAGTCATAGTAAAATATGTTAAAATGGCAGCCATTTTGAAAAATGGGCACCTTCTTACAAAAGTGTCATTAAACAGTGTGCCATGCTTATAGTATTCACATACCAAATATGAACAAAATCGCTCCACTACTTTTCCGAGTTAAAGTAAGATAGGTTAAAATGGTGGCCATTTTTTCAAAATTGTGGCCATTTTTCAAAATGGCCGCCTTCTACCAAAAGTGTCATTAGACAGTGTGTCATGCTTATAGTATTCACATATCAAATATGAACAAAATCGCTACACTACATTTTGAGTTATAGCAAAAATCGTAAAATAACGAGTAAAGGCCGCCATTTTTCAAGATGGCTGTTACGTGCTTCTTTAATATCTACATTTAGCTTTATTAATGTCCTATATATTTTTTTTACATTTAAAACATATTGCTTTGATAGTTTTACATATTGCACCTAAATTACTGTAAAATCGGCAGTAAAATGGTCGCCATTTTTAAATGAGCTGCCATTTTGAAAATTGGCTTTCGAACAGAACTTCTATCCCCACAGGGTATGTGTGTACAAAATATGAACAAAATCGGGCCAATGGTATTTGAGTTATTGCCTGGACAGCGGACAGACAGCGGACGGACATACGGACGGACGGACAGACGGAGGCGTTCCCTATATCCCTCTTCGTTTGATGGGATAATAAATGTTGTAAGCATACACATATATTGTACTGATGTTAACCAACTTAGGAGTGCAAATATTCATAATTTAGATATCAACATTGTTTTGTAACAGCTATGAGAACTATTCATAATATATAATATATACAAGAATAAGAAGATGTGTTATTCTTCAAATGACTTGTCCCCTAGTCCTTTATTAGCAAATAAAAATAGATGCCTACCATTAGATGTGTAACCCTACCACAAAATACCAATCTTCTTTGTAATCAAATTTTTAGGAAGTTTGTGGTATGAGTTAGAAAGTATAATAGAGTGTAAGAGATCTACCTGATGTTAGAACGCTCAAGCCACATTTCCCATGGCCCTGGCAAACCATCAAACATCCCTGATTGAGCATCAAATTTAACATGAACATTATGTTTAACTGTCCCAGGAATCGGCCCTGAAATTTCACTGGCCTCCGAATCCCGAATTTTCTTTTTACTTTTGAACAAATTTTTTAAACTTGACATTGCTGTGTGTTTGTGCTACTGAAAGTATACAAATGTTAGAAGTATTTGATATAAATGTTATAAAGAAAGATATGGTAGGGTGTAAAATGGGAAAACCATTCACAACATTTAAGTGCTTTGTGTTTTTGCATCCTGTTGAAATAATATAGAACATGTTGATTAGCAATCTAATTGTAACAAATAATGTTATATGTTAATATACATTTGTAGAAGAATAATTGTTCATTTTGAACAGCTTAAATTCATGGACTGTAAATTGACTTAATAACTATTGTTTTAAATTGCGTTGTTATGTAAAATTGAAAGAATAATTTGAGTTGTGGCACCTTCAAACTAATTTTATCATTACTATTAAAACTGTTCATATTTGTAAAGCCTCTCTTCATATAAGAGCAATTTGGCTAATGTGCCAGATGAGTTGAATATTGAGCTTCTAAGCATGCAATACTTTGACCAATCAGGGATGCCGTTATGTTAGTAATGAGAAAGTAAACAAATCAAAGCTGATCTAAACAACATCTATTCTTCTATTTCCTTAAGGTGGGAAATTCAAATGACCCTATATTCATGTAAAGATGAACCAATGAATTTTTAGGTTTATCTTCTTTTGAATTCTTGGTTATTCCAAATTCCCCTCTATTCTCTTAAAACAAAGAGTATACAAGGGCCGATCAAAAAGTTTCTTACCAATGTTTCTTAACAATGCTGGTAAATTTCCAGAACCACAACCCAGCAGATATTTTATATAAAACGCTGCTCCACCTAACTTTGTCATTGAAAATATGAATTGACTCTGTGTCACTACCGATGAACCAATTTATATGAAACTCGTACAGTTTCAAGCAAACTAACTATCCTGTCTCATGTTAAAGTTTGAGCTACCAACTCCTCTTATTATAAAATTGAGAGCCAATGGTAACAAACTTTTTGATCGGCCCTAAGTATTAGAAGATACCACATCAAGTCCACATCTTTATGAAATTTTACACTGTAAGTTATCAATTTTTAACTAAACAGTGTTAATAGATTTAATAAAGATGATTTGAAACCATCAACATGTATCTGAAGTCTAAAAATAGCCCATACAAGTATAGTGATGATGTCAAGATGCTTATGGTTGCATTGTATATTGTTTGGGTAGAAAGGGGGTAAATGACTATTCCCTGGAGTGTTTGTGAACATTGCATTTTTATTCATCATAGAGATTAGAGTATTTCAAAGATACCAGCCACCATGAAGAAACAACTGTTAACATTTGGACACAATATCACTCAGTTTACATTACAACAATCAAATACAGTACAATTTGCTATTAATAAGGCTAATTGAAGGGTACCAATTGAAGACATGCTCATCGCAAGTTAAAAGTATACAGAATTAAATTCAATCATAAAAGGACAAGCCCAGAGCCAAGGGGGGGGGGGGGGGAATTCACTTGGCCAAAATTTATTTTCAAATTACATGTATGCAGTTTTTACCATTCTGAGCACTTTCCCAGTGATTTCTGGCCAAAGTTGTCAAATGTAACCCGTTTTGGATTTTTTTGAAAACTGACCCACTTGACAAAATCTGGCTAGGGGCCTGAAGGACTCATAATTGCATCTCCTGAGCATCTCTATAATTAATAGCAAATTGATAAATTCATGGCTAAGACTTTATAAACACATTGGTTAGTATTGTGCAGTTCCTTGATGAAGACCACGGTTACCTGATTGTTGAATCAAGAAGACGTCCCCAAGTATCAGGGAGGTGGACAAACTGCCCTTTTTCTGCATCAAAACCTATGTGTAGACCCTTTTTAAAGTTATAAGGTCCAGATATGGAATTGATATTTTCGATTTCATTGGATATCTCCTCGGACTGAGACTTTTTCCTTGGGCCAAATATTTTCTTGAGGAACGCCATGGTTGTATAACCTTCTACATGTACTTCTCCTAATGATATCCTAAAATGCTAAATAAATGTAAGTCGTACAGGAACGTGTGTGCCATAATTAGACATTTAATACATCTGTTATTTTGTTAAGCATTATGTAAATCATACAATTCAAAGAACACTAAGTACATGGTTGTCCAAAAAAATGGGACACTCGTATTTCAATAAGTTCAAATTTATTATAATGTCTGTCAACCAGCGTCCATAATATAAATGACGTCATTTTAGTTTTAAAATGGGTTTTCCAAAACTTGCAAAAACAAGTTTTATTGTCAACTTTATTCACATAAACAGACGTTCAATATGTCCACCATTTTGATCAATAGTAGCCCTGAATTTTGGCCTTAACTGGCCAATAGCATCATTGATATGCTGTTGAGACAGTGAATTTCACTTCTTAATAATTCAATTCTGTCCTTAAGAGACTGAATAAATGTAAAGGACTCATGGTACACCAATTCTGTTAGTTCTCCCATACGTGGTAGTCGCAGACATAGGGTGATCTGGGTAGGCAGTGATTAGATGGGATGAATCTAAGGACATTTTCCTTTAAACATTTGACACTCTTGAAAGATCCATTGCTTGGAGCCCCATCTTGTTGGAAAAAGTAATGATTCGAGAATGAGCTCATATCAGGATGGTCTAAAAAGAACATACATTCTGTAGTTGGATAATGCGATGTCAATGTCTGCGACTACCATGATTTGGGAGAACTAACAGAATCGGACAATTGGTTTACCATGAACCCCTTACATTTACTCAGTCCCTTATTAAGGATAGACTTGTTGAGAAGTGGAATTCATTGTCTCAACAGCACATCACTGATGCTTTTGAACAGTTAAGGCCAGAATTGAGGATTATAACTGATTAAAATGGTAGACACATTGAACGTCTGTTTATGTAAATAAAGTTGACAATAATACTTGGTTTTTGCAAGTTTTGGAAAACCCGTTTTGACATTATAAAAAATTTGAATTTATGATATACCAAATCAATGATGAGTAAATTCCCTATCCACTGGTATATAATATGACATGTTTTCATCAAGAAAATCAATATTTATTTTTGAAATACAAGTGTCCCATTTTTTGGACCACTGTATGAACTTCAGTTTTTAAGAGTGATAGTAACACATACAAGGGTTGATCCAAAAGTAATGAAATACTTTTCTTATTTAAATCACAATGTTAGTAATGGTATATAGTGAAAATTTAGAAAATCTAAATCTGCTCAAAATCAGCTGGTAAATCTTAGGTTCATGGCTCTCGTCATAATCATCGAATTATGCTCCCCTCAAAATGGAAAAAAATTTACATTGCCTCACAATAAGTTTTGCCATTTTTAGGTGGCCATTATACTCCATGATTAGGACATGTAGGATCCGGAACTTCTAAGATATGAAACCATGAAAGCCTGTCTTGCAGCATCTGCAATTTTGAACATCATACAGTGCTGTCAACCCCCAAAGATTTTCTCGCGGGACAGATTTTTTAGACCCAGTGCCCAAAATTCGCGGGATTTTGCGGGACATCTACTAAATTCGTGGGATTTCGCGGGACATTTAAGGGATTTGCGTGATTGCGTTAATAGGCCAAATTTTTTTATCAAATTCGCGGTATTTCGCGGGATCATTCGAGGGACAAACACCCTAATTGCGGGACAGTTAACAGGTTTACCACCAAAAACTTCATAGAGGGACAGATTTTTTAGACAAAGTGCCCTAAATTTGCGGGATTTCGCGGGACAGTCCACCTAAATTTGCAGGATGTCTCGGGACATTCAAGGTATTTGCGTGATTGGGACTAATGTAAAAGCGTGTAAAAGTACTTAAATCAAACTTTCAGATACTGATTAATCAAATATAATGCACAGTTACATTGTAACTTAAATAAACGTCAACACAATTTCACAAAATACGCATAGGAATTTAATTAAACTTTATTGTAATTTATCAAAAACAAAAACCACGCTTCAGGTGTGAGTACCGTAATCTAACACGAAATTCAAAAATTCATAACAATACTTTGCACTTCTGGCATCGTGACCAACTATGAAACGCTTACCCCCATAAAATAATGTTATATATTAAAATGTACCTATTCATATACTGTTTGAAAGCCCATGATATAGGGGTTCGATTAATCTACATCAAATTATAGGGAATGAGGTTACTTTTCTAGATAGGGTTTTTAGAAAAAAGGGTACCGGGTTGTAAATCCTCCATGCTGGGTTCAAACTTGGTACCCGGTCCAAAAACCGGGTAACAAAAAACGAAATATACGAATATACAACATAATTAGATCATTAGAAAACGTGTAAGATTTGTTTTGAATTTACAAAAATGTATGTAACTTCCTTCAAAATTGAGCTAGAAGCTTCAAATAAAAGCATTTTAAGGCTCTTTCTTCCTCTATCATCATGGTCATATTGGTAATGAAGGGGGGGGGGGGATGCGATTGCAGCCCCTCCTGGCTAGTACGCCAATGACATTGTAAGACGATTTGAAAAACAAGACAAATCAATCTTACTCTATTTTCAATAGTTCGTATGTTGGTACATGAATTGTTTTGATTATGATTTAAATCTGTAAATAGCTATCGTTGCTTTAGCAGAGAGGTGACGTGTGTTAATTTACATGATGCAACTTGTAAGATTTTGATTATCCGGCAATCATAATTTAAGTTATCCCAATTTTCAAAAAATGTCCACTGAATTGTTATGTCTTACAATGTCATAGGTGTAGCCAGGGTACCGGGTACCAAGTTTAAACCCAGCATGGAGGATTTACTACCCGGTACCCTTTTTTCTAAAAACCCTATCTAGAAAAGTAACCTCATTCCCTATAATTTGATGTAGATTAATCGAACCCCTATATCATGGGCTTTCAAACAGTATATGAATAGGTACATTTTAATATATAACATTATTTTATGGGGGTAAGCGTTTCATAGTTGGTCACGATGCCAGAAGATTCTTATGGATCCAAGTGCAGTTTGTAACGAGTGGCAATCATATTTTTGTAATCTGGCTTCATATGACAATAGAGACATTTTTGACAGTAATTTTGAAAGTGAGGTTCTCTTAGACATGGAAGTAATGAAAATGGACTCTGTATTAAATAAGGATGCTATTTTAGACACTGATTTTACAACTGAGGAAGTTAATGAGTGTATACTTAAACTGAATAATAATAAAGCCGCTGGTCATGATGGTTTAAATGCAGAACATATAAAATATGGTGGTCAGTATATGACAATAGTCATAACACTACTTTTTAACGTAATTCGTATAAGTGAGTACATTCCAGAAAACTTTTGTACAGGAATCCTTATTCCTCTTTTAAAGTCAGGTAACAAAGATTGCCTTAACAGAGACCACCACAGAGGTATTACTTTAATGAGTATTTTGAGAAAATTGTTTGATAATATGGTACTCGCTAGGATGCTTCCAAGGCTCAGAAATGCTATCCCTCAACTTCAGGGTGCCTCTGTCGAAAAGTGTTCTTCTCTTCACACATCATTTTTGCTCCAAGAAGTTATTGCACATAATGTTAAGGAAGGGGTATTTTTGGCGTTAATGGACATTAGGAAAGCCTTCGATGGTACCTGGATAGATGGGTTGTTCTGGAAACTGTACAAAATCGGTATAAATGGCCTTGCTTGGCGACTCTTGTATAATTCATATTGTAAATATAAATGTAAAGTTCTTGTAAATGGTGTACTAAATCCTGAATCTTTTCATGTGAACAGGGGAGTCCATCAAGGAGGAATCTGCAGTATGCACCTCTACCAATTCTTCATTGCCGACCTTTTAAACGAATTAATAAACAGTCATTTTGTTGCAAAGATCGGAAGACACCCTGTAGGTTGTCCAGCATATGCCGATGACCTCGCGCTCATAACAACCGACCCAGGACATATGAATGAACTTCTTCAGATAGCATACGAATACAGTAGACGATGGCGTTTTGAATTTCATCCAGATAAGTGTGTGATAATGACGTATGGCCCGGCAAAAAGGACGATTTGCGACTTTAAACTCGGAACGGCGGTCATAAAAAATGTTCAGTCAGCTCATCACGTTGGGATTCCTCTTGGGAAAACAACCGAACACGTAAAAAGTGCTATATCCGCAGCTAGAAGAAAGTTCTGCTCACTTTTGGGCCTAGGAAGCGGGTGTGGCGGCATTCACCCATTATTAGCTTCAAAACTGTACTGGTCTTTTGCTTTCCCTACCATGACTTATGGATGTGCAGTGATACCATACTCAGAGGATGACTTTAAACTGATGGATTGTGCTCACAGGGAGATTGGCAAGCGAATCCAGTCATTGCCAAAGAACACACCAGATCCTGTGGCAGTCAGGCTGCTTGGCTGGATGTCAGTCCAAGCAAAGATTGATTGTGACCGACTTATGTTTTTGTTCATGCTGTTATGTTTGCCCATGAATTGTATATATAAAGTCATATGTTTAGAGCGCTTAATAAGAATGATGTACACATCTGTTTCCTGTAAAAGCATGAAATCCCCTTCATTTTATATGTGGGAAACAGTTCTGAAGTATAACCTTACTGACTATGTGAAGGAAATGATTTTCAATGCTAAATTTCCAAGTAAATCAAAATTTAGAGAGACCATTTACAATAGAGTCAAAAATGTTCATGCTCGTAGCACTGTGCTCTCAGCACTAATGTACAATAATCTCAATATGATGGCAGGTTCCTTGGTAGAATTGAAACCAAATGTTTGGTGGATTATTGCAAGAAACAATCCCAATTATATGTACTGCACAAAACTTATGATAAAATTACTAACTGGAACTTACGGTTTAAACAGTAGACGTCGCAAGGGTGATACACCTGTGTGTAAAACATGTGTGCTTTGCGAGCTTAATGAAAATGAAACTGTTAAACATTTTTTACTCAAATGTCCAGCTTTTTCTGGAGTAAGGGTTCCGATGATTAACATTGTAACAAGCATCTTTAACGTCCAAGATGACAATTTTATTCTCAAGTCAATATTAGGTATCATTAGTTGTGATCATGAGAAGCTATTAG